CCCTACACCAGGTTGCACGGGAAAGCATCCATGCAGGTTTTGAACATCTCCAGAGAAGGAGACTCCATAACCTCTCTGGGCAGCCTGTCCCAGTGCTCTGGCACCCTCACAGGAAAGAAGTTTTTCCTCATTTTCAGATGGAACCTCCTGTGTTCCAGTCTGTGCCTGTTACCCCTTGTCCTGTCGCTGGGCACCACTGAAAAGAGTCTGACCCCATCCTCTTGACACCTGCCCAAGTGGGGGTTTGTCTTGAAATGTTTCTGATCAATGAGTGTTCGGTCTGAATAAGTATAATCCATTGAAATACCTGAAGGAATAATTTGTTTCCCTCTACTGACAGTGTAAGTTCTATAGTATTGTCTCCCAGTCTGTCTTACATTCAGCTTTATACTGCAGCTGGATTGGTAGTTGGTACTGAAACAAGGTTGTATGAAAGCGAAGGATAACTTGGACAGAGCACTAGCTAGAAAGTGGAATATTATGCCAGAGACTGTATAGTAGAGCTTAGTTTCTAAGTATCTGTGGTGTTGACTACATATGCTAAAAATGCATGTTCTTTTATTTTTCTGCTAGTCATTTGAATTCCAGATGAATTAATGTAATTCTTGAAGGGAGGAAGCACAATTAAATTAATTTGATAGGCCTTCACGTCTTAAGAAGGCATGAGTGCTCAATACTATTTAGAAAATATTTTGGTACAACATGAAATTTCCAATTTGTCATGAGATTTAAGATTGCTTTGCATGAACATCAACTTGTAGATTTACAAATTGGATATTCACTGTATCTGAAACTGATGTGTTTACTCTTTCAGGAAGAAAAAAATATAAGGTGGGCATCAAGATGGGATTATATTTTGGAATCCATGCCTCACACTCACATTCAGTGGTTTAGGTGAGAAGAAACCATTTGTCTTCAAATGTACCATATTGAAGTGTTTACATTGCAATTTGAAAGATTTTATTTGTTGTTTTTTTTTCCCCTCCCTAATTCAGTATTATGAATTCCTTGGTGATTGTCCTCTTTCTGTCCGGAATGGTAGCTATGATTATGTTGAGGACGCTACATAAAGACATTGCAAGATACAATCAGATGGATTCCACTGTAAGTCTAAAATACACCTCCTAAAAGTTATTTGGAATGTAATCTTTTCAGCTAAATGTATTTCTGTAACAGGCTATTTAAATGGCAATCTACTGTATTAAAATAAGTGTATTTCCTTTACAGGAAGATGCTCAAGAAGAATTTGGCTGGAAACTGGTTCATGGCGATATTTTCAGACCCCCAAGGAAAGGAATGCTGTTGTCTGTTTTTCTAGGCTCTGGCACACAGATCTTAATAATGACTTTTGTTACCCTGTGTAAGTAATGAAGTGGGGAGGAGTTAGTTGAGTACAGAGGGTTTTTCACTGCTAATTGCATGGTTCTGGTAAAAATAGCACTATAGGGTTTTTGTCTAAAAATTTCTTAAAAGTCTTGAGCAGATTTTAAGACACCTGATGTACTGGCTTTAAGTCAAATGTTTGTTTACTTTCTAAAATTGTGCATCTCTGCTGCATAGTTTTTGCTTGCCTGGGATTTCTGTCGCCTGCCAACCGGGGAGCTCTAATGACCTGTGCTGTAGTTTTGTGGGTACTGCTTGGAACTCCAGCTGGTTATGTTGCTGCCAGATTCTACAAATGTGAGTAAAAGTTTTTTAATATGACAAGGCTTAAGTTTATTTAAATAAATTATAATCACAAAACTGATTTTTATTTTGCAGTTACTGCGTGTAGTTTCCATCAGGGCAGGTTGGGGAAATAGAGTTACCTTAGCAACAGAAAACATATAGCACACTGACAGTGACCACATTGGTTTTGATGTGGTCATGCCTAAAGACCCTGAATTGCTCGTGCTACTATGTATTTATGGAATTGGGAAGCAAATTCCATTTTACTAGTACTAAGCTCTTTGCACCAGACATTTTTGTACTTCTGTTTCCTACAGTTAGAGGGGGGTGGCGTTAACTTGCATTTAGTTTTAGCCATTGATGTTGCTTGGTCATATTTTGTTGTTTGGTTTGGTTTTTACCTAGATCATGAACCTCAGTTCTTGCATGCCTGAGATTTGTCACCCCTTTTTAGCTAGTTCCTAGGTCTTTGGGAGAATGGTGCTTATCAGACTGTGGCAGAGATGCATGGGGAAGGATTATGATGTGTTCCTTAGTTGTAGAAATCAACCCAGTGGTGTTTGGAGACCTGACAGTGGTTAGTTGATACTGTTTTCCTTCACTGATCCCAGCTAGCTATTGTTTCAAGGCCTGCCCACCAGCCTGAAACAGTTTTCCCATGTACCCTCTGGTTTATTTTAAGGTGAAGCATACCATTCTGCATAGAGCTTGTTTTAATTACCTTACTCAAGGTAAAAGACTCTTTATGATGAATGAGCTGAATTTTTTGGACTATTTTAGTTCTGAACATAGAGGGTTGGAGGAGTTTATTTCTGAGCTTCAGCCTGTCAGGAGGCATTGGCAATCTTTCTTCTAACCATTTTGTAATTTTCATGTGTGGAGAACCATTCGAGACAGAGGGTTTGTATTTTGTAAGGAGTTTTTCCACGGTGGTAGTGATGTGATAGTGAACTATTTGTTTTCCTAATCCTCAAGCCAATTAGACTTAAAAGGAAGGAAACTTTAGGATTAAGAGCATAATTGCAGACAGAATTATTCTTTCTATCATGCTGTATATTGTGTGTTTTGAAGGGTATTTTGAAGTGTATTGATAGTAAATTGAATCCCCATCTCTTTGGTGGAGATGTAGCTAATAATAATCACATTTCATATTATACTTTTTGGGAATCATTTAGTTTATACTTGAATATTGAATCATTTAACCACTAAGACAATGAGTGGCTGATCCAGAGATATTCTTGTTGTAGCACGAGGTGGTCCATACCCTGTGTAGTGTATGTAAACATGAATGTTTCTTCTTAGAGTGTACAAATAATGTGAGACATAACCAAAATGCAGCAGAAATGGATATCTAGTTTTTAAAATGGTTTGTTGGGGGTTTCGTTGGTTGGTTGTTTTTTTTCAACATTGCATTTAAAAAGTGAAACCTGAGTTGAAATTAAATGATTAATCTTAATAACCAGTGCTATGTTCTACCAAGATTTTATGAAGAAATAAAAACTTAATTAAAATCACTTTAACCATAATAACTTCTGGTTCTTGATGTAAAGTAGCATGTCATTATGGCAGTGCTCAAATGAAATTGTCAGCTTCACTGAATTCCAGCAGGATATTTTCATTTCAAAGTGTGCTGACTAGAATTTTTATCAGCAGAGTGCAAATTCATAAAGATTTTCTTAATAAAGCTATCTTTGGCCTTTTGCTATCACCATTGCTTAATGCTGTTGAGATTCAAGAGAACATCACTACTTCCCATAAGCCTGTTAGTCCTGACTTTCTTGTAAGATTTGTAGACAAGAATTATTTCAAGATAACTGTTAAGCTTGCCTTTCACGAATTGATGTATTTTTTCCTACTGAAACCTGCAGCCAAATGCTAGAAAGCTTAAACTTCTTAATCACTCCAGGTTTAAACTGTTTTTTAAAGGCTTAAAAGTACTACAAATCTGTTTCCTTCTTTTAGCAGATAAAATAGTAAGAGACCCAGTTTATGTAGTTGGATACTTTTCCTGACCTTGATCTGTGGTTTTTCTATGCATTGAAACTCTATGATTAAGCACTATGATGAGGGAATTCAGTTTTATTACTGAAGACTTAGTTTACTGTTTTAATCTTGGGCATGATAGCACATTATTTGAGTATTTGCAAGCTAAGTATAACAGGTAAATGGACTGGAAAATTAATAGTTGTGAGCGTAGTGCACGTTTTGATGACTGTCACATGTTTTAATACAGCATTTGGGGGTGAGAAATGGAAAACAAATGTCCTGCTGACATCATTCCTTTGTCCTGGGTAAGTTGAGAATATCACCATGATTAAAAGAATTAAATTGATTCTATGATATGCATAGCTAATTTTTAAGTTTCAGCTGTACAAGTATAGCTTATTGCATCACCCCTTTATTCCAGAACCTACAAGGGTATCACAGCACTTCTGAGAAAGCTGAATATGTTAATGGTATATCCTCCTTAGGTGTGTTTTTTAGTAAGCATTTGTTTGTTGTTGCCACGTGAAAGGGTTGATTAAGAAAGAACATTATCACAGCAGTAAGTTTTAGACAGGCACACTTTTTCATTGCTCTCTTTTATTCTCTAGACTGTTTCTCTGACCACACTGTCGTTGGCCTTACATAGTGTCACATACTGTATAACCACTGTGATAAACTTTTCTACTTAATCACAGCAAGTAGTCTTACCCTGAAGTGTAGTTAAGACAGGCATATATTAGAAATTGCTTAGTTGGAACATCAGCTCCTGCTGGAGTTCCATCCCACTAGATTAATAAATAATTGCTACTTTGACCTCTTCATTTTGATATTTTGTGTGTGTCATTTGGTTTTAACAGAGATTTACACCAAAATCTTAATACAGTACTATTGTTTTGCTAACATAATTAAATATTAAAGAGTGTTTCTGTGCTTTAAGTGTTTTATGTATTTTTTCAGAATTGTGTTTGCAGATTTTTTTATCATGAACCTCATTCTCTGGGGAGAAGGCTCTTCAGCAGCTATCCCATTTGGGACTTTGGTTGCTATTTTGGCACTCTGGTTTTGCATATCTGTACCACTGACGTTTATTGGTGCCTATTTTGGATTTAAGAAAAACGTAAGTCTCTTTGAGAAATCATTTTGTAAGTGTGTGTATACACATATAGGCACAGATATATATTTCTCACTGTATTGACTGACTGAGAGAGCACCTCAGCTCTTTGCATTGTCAGCTCAGTTCTCTTCAGTGACTTCAGAGCTGCGTTAGGCAGCTGATCTTGGGATTCCAAGACTTTGGTGTTCAGTTGGTTGGTGATGGTGATACTTCTCTGCAACGATTAGGGTTATCACTGTATTTAATTGAGTGACTGCTCCAGATAAAGCAGTGATTTGGGCATTTTTATTTAAATTAGTATCTCTTTCATTACTTAAAAAAAAAAAAAAAAATAGTTGACCTAGCCAAGCACAAGGGAAAACAGTTTATGCATTTCTGGGTTTCCCCGTGTTTTTTGTTCCTGTCTGCTGTCTACACTGAGGATATTTTCTGGTCAATTTGCTAAAGTTCTTGTGAAATTCCTTTGCATAAGTGTTCTGTAATTGGTTATCACTGCTTGGCAGAATTTAATTGGCATTTACTCCTGAACTAATCAATTTTACTTATTTATATGAGGGCTTTTTGTGATGCTAGTGACCAAACCTTCTTATATAATGAAATAGTTCTGTTTTTGCTTAAAAAGTGGTTTACTGTGCTCTACAAACTTAAAGATGTGTAAGTCTGGATATTTTTGTGTTTTTTCCTGTATAGGAAGCTAGAGTTCCAGTTCGCTGTAGCTCTCACTGAATACCTTCTGAGAATATTTAAGTATCTTAGAAGGCATTTTTTAAATTTATTGTAGTTATCCTGTTTTTCTTAACCAGAACTGAGTGGTGTACTCTGGTAGCCATGTTGAAATTCCAGCAAATCCCCCTGTGTTGTACAGAGGCAGTTCATTTAAGAAGGGAGGATTTGATAAGCTATAAGACAATGTAACAGGTGTCACAGATACGTTCAAATCAGAAAGCAAGTACCTAGCAAGTATCTGTTGATGTTCTTGATGTAATCTTTTCAAAAGGGGAAAGATGGCAAAGTGTGCATTTATCTACCTTAAATTTTTTCTCCCACCATGCTGATCTATGCATCTCACATTAGGATTTAATTGCCAGATTGAATCCTCTCAGTTTGTAAGTTTACTCTAATATGATTCTTGGAGTAAATCCTGAAAAATAACATACAGGGACTTTTAGAAGGGGAAAGCAAGAGTCTGCATCGCCACTACCACCCAGCTGAAAAGTGAGAAATCAGCTCAGGCTCTGTAGCAGATCATAGATAGGTAATCATAAAAAGGGAAATCCAAAATAGCTCTTGCTGTGCTTTCAGTAAGAGCTGTCTTTTAGCTTAATTGCCTAGCGAATCACACAGAATCACAGAATGTCAGGGAT